CCAGTTATATATGGGATAACCTCACTTAGGCAACTTTTAGGGTCCAAAGTGTGGTCGTATCGTCAGCAGCTCCGGCCATGCGATCTCTTCCGAAGTCATGGAGGCAAGGGCTAAATTTGGCGAAATGTCAGGAAATATCGCCACAAAATATGGCCTGAAAAGTTGTACCTCCATTTCAGGGTTCTATAATTTACTGTTAACTGGAGGATATTTAAAATCCATTGTGTCTTTCCCTCCAAATAGATAGAAATGCACAGAACATGAATAGAAAATGGCTAGAATCCAGAACATCGACAGAGCATGGCATGGCGAGAACTCCGCCAGGCCCAGGTCTGTGGAAGTTTGGCCCTCAACCTGCAGAGCTTGAGATGATACGTTTGCAACCCTTTGCGAATGAGATTTGGGTATGTTTGGATAGCAAATTGGCATACTACAATATATATATATATTACAATATTACCCCAAAAATCTCCGTTGTTCCTTGGGTAGTATCATTGAGATTTCTGAGTGTATGAGCATATAAGCGACACAAGACAATCCAAAAGCATACTGGCTATGGATCAAAAATTGGTGTGGCTGATAGTTGCAAATTGCCACATATGCAGACCTATCTGTTTGTAGATTGCTCAAGAGTTCCAGCTTAAACAGTGAGTGCACTAAATCGTTTCTAGTTCCTGACCATGGTGAGCCCAGCGATGCTGAAGGGTATGAACACGGAGGTGTATGGGGAGGGCCACCCCTTCGGGGACCCGTCCTGGTATCAGGCCTACAACACGCCCTACTACAATGACACCCACAAGCAGTTCCGAAAGCTGATGCGTGAGTACGTGGATGAGCACATCATGAGCAATGTGCATGACTGGGATGAGAAGGGCACTATCCCAAAGGAGATGTACCTAGAGGCTGGAAAGCAGGGTACTCTTGCATTGTGCATTGGCAGGCCGTGGCCTGAGAAGTACTTTGGTCCATCTCCTTGGGGATTTGAGCCGGACTACTTCCATGAGCTCATCATGTACGACGAGATGTCTCGTACTGGCTCTGTGGGCTTTCAGTGGGGCATTGCTGGAGGCACCACCATCGGACTGCCTCCTGTGTACCACCATGGAAGCGAGGAGCTGAAGCAGCGTGTCATGCCACCATGTGTCAAGGGAGAGAAGGTTTGCTGCCTGGCAATCACAGAGCCCACAGCAGGCAGTGATGTGGCAAACTTGAAGTGCACCGCCAAGCTGGAGGGTGACCACTACATCCTGAACGGAGAGAAGAAGTGGATCACCAACGGCATTTTTGCAGACTACTTCACTGTGGCATGCCGCACTGGCAAGCCAGGAGTGGGTGGTATCAGCTTGCTGCTGGTTGAGAAGGGCATGCCTGGCCTTGAGACCAGAAAGATGAAGTGCTCTGGTGCCTGGTCATCTGGCACAACATACATCACCTTTGATGATGTCAAGGTTCCAAAGGGCAACTTGCTTGGCAAAGAGGGCAAAGGCTTCCAGTACATGATGCAGAATTTCAACCATGAGCGATTTGCCTTCTGTGCCATGAGCACTCGCTTTGCCCGAGTTTGCCTGGAGGACTCCCTGAAGTTTGCTGGCAAGCGCAAGACCTTTGGCAAGACTCTGATCCAGCACCCAGTGATTCGCTGGAAGGTTGCAGAAATGGCCCGCCAGATTGAGGCAACTCACAACTGGTTGGAGTGGATCACCTACCAGCTGAAGACCATGCCCAAGATAGAGGCCATGCTGAAGCTGGGAGGCCACACAGCTCTTTGCAAGGTGCAGTGCACCAAAGTCATGGAATACTGTGCCCGCGAAGCAGCTCAGATCTTCGGTGGATTGTCCTATTCCCGCGGTGGTCAGGGTGAGAAGGTGGAGCGTCTGAACCGTGAGGTTCGCGCCATGGCCATCCCAGGAGGCTCTGAGGAGATCATGTTGGACTTGGGAGTGAAGCAGTCCACCAAGCTTGCAGAGATGGCCAAGATGTTCGCTGAGGCTGCACCTCAGGCTCAAGCAGCCAAGCTTTGAGCACGCCCTGTGCAGATCAAGGCTAGAAGATCTGGAGACCTGAGTAAGATAATCCATCAGCTTCGTAGACTTCTTATGTTTCAGTTGCAGCGAAGCAACTCGATCGTCAACGCTTCAGAGGGAACCTCTAAGAACGGGGAGCCTCTGGTTTCAAGCATTCTAAGCACAGACATCTCGAGTCAAGGGTCAAAACATTTCAGCTTGCTTGACTTCTGCAAGCGTCCATCAAATGTCTCCTGCGCACAGAGCAATCAACCGCAGGTTCTAGTCCTTGTCAACGTGTTTTCCAATTGGATTCATTTGGGTCCAACATCCACTCTGGCAATATTTTGGCGTGTGTTTTCATCTGGCTTTGTCCAAAACTTACCTCAAAAATCCCCAAAAGCAGTCGCTTATTTCCATCTTTTTTCCCGTTTATATAGAACGGTTTGTATATTTCTGGGGTAAATCCGCCATTTATTTTGACAAACCCAGATGATTCAGTTTTCATCATTTTTCATCATCTTTCAGATTCATCATTTTCATCATCATTTTCATCATCTCTGAGTTTTTTTTCAGCTTCTTGCTGCACCACATGCTTTACGGCCGCTCCAGTTTTGCCCAAACGTTTTGCCTGTCCCTTGCCTTGCAGCGCCAATTTGGCTTGGTGGGCCTCGCAGAGGCAGGGTGTGCCCCTGGAATTTGGTGCTTAATGCCCATTAGGGGATGGTTTATACCACCCATAAAAATGGTGACTTGGGGATGGTTGATGTTTATGGCCCTTGGGAAAAACCACATTAATCATTGCTAAAGAGCACGACTCATAGGTTCATTGTTGGGTTTACCACATTATTATTGGGTTTACCACATTAGTCATCAATCATCACTTTTTATACCATCATATACCGCCCATAAACTGGTGATTCATCGATCTTAATCACCAAAAACAGGTACCTAAAATGGTGATTATCGATTTGGGGATGGTTTATGCCACCCATCTTTTTCCCTCTCAAAACAGCAGGCGATGGCCTTTCCTCCAGCGCCAGCCCTTTTTCCGCCGGCATCCACAGTGCCTGGCGCAGGCGCAGCAGGTGACTGGTGCAAATTTGGAAAAACCTCGGGTGCTCCAACGAATTATAGGCAAAGGATAGTCCATGTATTCTCCTAGGTTTTGGGTGCTGGGAGCAATCCTGACCTCTGTTGAATTTTCCACTTTTTGAAAGGGGAAATCAACTTGACAGATAAATTCGATCATCAAAATACAGAAAACAAAGCGCTGCAGACGGATTGATTGATGGATTAGTATGCGATTTCCCATCGATTTACCTTTTGCGAAATGCGGAATTCCAGCCTGGAGTACCGCTGGGGTATGGATCATGAATCCTTTCCACGGGCTGTGTTCATTTGTAGAGTGATGTGACCCTTTTTTTAATTCTGGGTGAGCTGCCGCGAAAGGGACTGATTCTGCTCAGGGCCAGCTGGGGATACAAAAGAGTCACAGGACGAGTTCCAACCCACAAGCAACATGCAGTCACAACAAGCAGTACAGGTAGACTGTGCGGTTGGGTAAATACAAAGGACATACTTTTAGGTCCTCGATTCTGGTGCTTCAACCCACTAGCGGCACTAGCGGACCTAGTGCCTTTCAAAATGTAGGATACATTTGTTTTTTGATAGGCCCTGGGGCCAGGGTCATGCTGGCAGTACACAACTTTTTTTTACCCTTGACTCACTGCAGGTTTGCCAACAATGAATCCAGCCTTGATTCAGCAGCAACAGCAGCAGCGCCATGGTTGCAAGCTTTCCCTCAGCTTGTGAGGTCAACAAACCTGGCAGGAAATCAGGATTTCTGATAGGAAAGTCATCTATAAAGTGTCAAAGAAATCCGGAAAAACAATATCAATGTTGAAGTACCAGAGGCTAATATTCTATATGATCATTCTTACTATATACTTGTTACGGTGATTTCTACTATTATCATCATTATTATCATCATTGGACACATGATGTTTTTATCAATATCATCATGATAATCATGATGTTATTATCAATACTATAGACCATAGATATTATATGTATGTATATATATATAACAAGAATCATCATGATTTGCCATTGAGGCAATACCTGCAGTACATGATGATGGTGCAAGCCCAGCAATCCGCGGCCGCTGCTAATGGGGCGACAGCGAATGGGGCGACGGATCAACAGCTGCTTCAGCAGTAACTGGGATCCCTCAGACAGGGGTAAAGTGACTGGAACGGGTGGATTTATTCATTAAAAAGGCGATGGTGAGTTTAGGATCAAAAAAAGGTACTTTCATACTTTAATCTTTTGCCATAACTGGGGATAGATATATACGAAGCAGCTACAGAAATCCTGTAGGGTATCTAAGTTTGGGCGTGTGTTGCATGGACAATCACCTGATGATGTTCCCATTTGGGTCCTTAAAGAAAATCGGAAGCTAAGAGATAGTTTCAGGATGTGCTGAGTTCGTTTGAAAGGTCAGATACTCTCTCCGCAAGAGGATTCCGTTGGTCGCCGCCATCACCATGGCATGAGGCAGCTGCTCCACTCTCTTTCGACCTCGACCGAGAAGCCCAAAGCTGCCCTGGTGGACTTGGAGAACGAGCCGGTGAAGGTCAATGGGACCTCCAAGGCACCTCCCAAGGTCCGACCATGGCAGGAAAAGAGACGATGGATTTTGGTGCTTCTTTCTTTTTGGGGTTCGAAGTTTGGGTGGAATTTTTGGGTTCCCGTTTCTTGAACGAAGCCATTTGAGTCTGAGAATGCCAGGGGAAGAAGAAGAGCAGCTCTAGCGGGTTCCTGGTCTGCAAAAAGAGCCAGGAAATGATTTTTAACTAGAATATCCATCCCTACCTATGATGATACCTTTTCATTTCCTGACTGAAGTGGCTCATGGAAAATGCGAACATTCCCTTCCATTGAGGTCCCGCAGCCGAAGCAGTAACAAAAAAAAGCGAAGTCGAAGTCGAAACAAGAGGAGCGGGAACGGCATCCAGACAATTTTGGATGTGTGGGGTTTTCCTTGCCTTTAGCAGTGTGGGTTGAGCCTGTTGGTCTTCACTGCCTGTGATCAGCCGCAGCTGGCGATCGTTTCTGAGGGATCCGATCAGTTTGTCCTTGCGGAATTGCCTGAATGGCCTGTGGCTCAAAATTATCGTCTCCAAACGCTCAAAATTATGAAGCCCACAAAATGGACGGTGAATTATTGAGCCTCAACAAGGGAGTATGAACTATCCAAATGAATGCAACAAGGTGATTTGTTGACTTTCCTAGATTGGGGAATGAATGATAAAGAATAATACGAACTAAGCCACCAAAAACGTCAGCCTGCAGGAGACGCAGTTCCAGCTCCAGCAGGCAGGTAATCTCAGAGTTTTGGGTCATCTGAAGATTGGGATTTTTGAAGAATTTTGGACTCAATCCACTGGCAAAATCATCTTCAATACATCGGAATTTGAATGGATTTTACACGTTTTTTTTTTTTCATGGATTATGGATTCTTGGGGAATCGCAGAGGATTGCCGGCCCCGCTTTTCGGGGTTCCAGCCAAGCTAAGTTTCTTTGGGGGTCCTTGGTGGAAGCTTTTCTGAACCGCACCTGCCAGTAGCCGGAGCCGCAGCCGGTCGAATCGAAACAAAGGCCACTCGGAACGATCTCACGTCGCGACGTCACCGGAATGGTGGGGATTGGAATTGGGGTAACTATCCCCCAAGCGATAAATTTCTATGCCTAGCTTATCCAGGTTCATGATAAAATAAATGGAGGTGGGTCAGTCAAGACCTATGAAATACCATATGACGGGGGGATGAACATCCATTGACGATTTTGCTTGTCACAGTACCAGGTTTTGACAGCCGAACTTGTCAGGTTGATTGGTGTCGACTGTGTAGATGTAGTTTTTATCATTTTTTATCATGGGATACACAGAGAAATCTTTTCCGGGGCACACTCGGAGGCGTGAAGGGGCCCTGAACTCTATCATCCATACCCTTTGGAGGAGTCCCCCAACATAGATGGACAGTGGTAACCCCTGGAGGGACTTTACTTTTCTACCTGTGACCAACACATATCCAGCTATCAACAAAGCAGACATTATTTTGTTTGTTTGTTTGTTGGTTGGTTTGTGCCATCCGAATCCGTACTTGTCCATGTGATATCCAAGTTTTCTTGGCCATTTTCTGGTTTGCAGGTTGAATCCGCGTTTTTTTTTGGATATCCGCATTCTTGCCGCTTGATCTAGCAAATTTAAATCAAGCCCATGACCGATGCTTGAAAAAGCACGCTATTGGCGGTAATACAGTAATACACATGTTTGTTTCTTTCTCTAAATGCTTACAAAATGGCCCACACTAAAACATTGCAATCAATGGATGGTGTAAATACTAAACACTAAACATCTTTTAAATCATTTGCATTAATAGTGGGTAGATGGTTGGTTGATCAATTTACAACCCCATCTAAGATCATCTAGATATCTCCACCATACCTAGTTTACTGTTATAGGCTTCTAGGTAGATAACCCCATCTATGGTTGGTTGATGAATGCAGAACTCCATCCACCCTCAGCCGCAGGTCGCCGGAGCACTAGCCGCAGACGGCGCAGCCCCAGCCGTCGCCGCCGCAGCCCACCGGCGCGGAGCTTTGGCACCGGCTTTGCCGCTGGAGGTGGGGAAGCGATTTCGCCATTTTTCTCGAACGAGTTCATCACTGAAAAGGGACTTTAACCATTGAAAAACAGAGATTTACCATGATTGACCATCTGGTGTCAAAGATGGCGGCTGGAAAATCCCTGCTATTGTTTGCCAGCTAGCCATGTTCGATTTTTTCATGGATTGGTTAAAGGGAAAATATACAGAAAACCCCGTATTCCATCACAAAATCCATGGTTTCCGGTTAAGATTTTCCCTTCAACCAATCCGTTGAGGGGTAACGTTTGCGATTTACCCAGCCATTGTATGGTGATTTAATCACAGAAAAAGGATTAAATCACTCAAGAATGGATTTCAGCCCTCCTTGGAAACAACCTTTGAAAAAACACATTGGGATCTTGATTTTTTGGATCATTGGAGACTTTCTCGAAAAATTATCCAGCCCAAAGGATGGGGTGTCTTGCTTTGAGGCCACGGTGGCGGTGGTCCACGCTTTGGTGGCGGTAAAGGCTTCCCTCATGGCACCTTGGTCCCAGCTCTTGCCTGGTCTCGGGTTTGGTGACTCCTGCATCCCAAAACCATTTGTTTTGAGTCAGTTCAGTGTTAAGTAGGAATATTTCTGGGATTTTCCAGGTTTATCCCCGGTCCCAATCTTTGAAGACAACCCGCATATCCACAGTATCACTCGCTGAGGAGGAGGAGGAGGAGCTCGGGAACCGCTGCCGGACTTCAAGGCCTCGAGCGGCAAAATCTTACCTCGTGATTTGAATCGAATGTATGATATACCAGTAGTACCGCACAAGGCGGTGGCGGAAGTTTCAAAAATAGGAAACCTATAGGAGAGCTTGGTGGTTGTGAATCACGAAGGCAGAGCGAACCCACTGATGGACCGAAAGGTGGTGGGAGTTGTGTTTTTTGAAGTGGCTGCAATGGTTGCAGTGGTCACCTCTTCCTCAACTGCTTGATGTAGTGTGGTGTGGTGTAGCGCAGTTGTAATTAGTTGTAGTTGTAGTGTAGAGTAGTGGATTTGTAGTTGTAGCTGCCGTTGTAGTTGTAGTGTAGTGTAGTGTAGTTGGACCACGGCTTATAGACGGCCGTGTTGGGGTGGTGTGGGCGGCTCTAGGAGCCCGCGCGCGTTGCACTATTTTGCATTGTTGTTTCTTGGGGGGTTGTTTTTTTTTTTGGGGGGGTTCAGGGGGGGCTAATAACGTTCTTGGCTGGCCGTCTTACAAGATATTCTCTTGGACTTGCTGCTACGCTATCCACTCTTCTCTTGCACTGTACCTTGCCACACGCTATCAACTTCTTTTTTAACTTGCAAGACACTCTTGATTTTTGCATTGTTGTTTCTTGTTTTTTTTTGGGGGGGTTTTGGGGAGGGGCTAATAACGTTCTTGGCTGGCCGTCTTACAAGATATTCTCTTGGACTTGCTGCTACGCTATCCACTCTTCTCTTGCACTGTACCTTGCCACACGCTATCAACTTTCGGGGGTCTGCAGCTTCTTTCTTCTTACTCTTTCTCTTCTACTCTTCTTTCTTCTAATCTTTCTCTTCTCTCTGCCTCTTCCTTGCTCTGCTTTTCATCTGTCCATATTGTCGGAAGTTTGACTTCTAAACTTCCTTCGATTATTGATATGTGATGGTAACTCCACACTAGTTTGGAGTTGAATGTGATTTGCTGCGCCTCTAGTGGGTTTGAGGCGCCCAGTGGCCCTGCACCTGCGAGCCTCGCAGCTTTGAAGCCGCCACCTTCCATGGCTGATCTCAATGCCGACCCTAACGCACACAACAGACGCTCGTTGGCGAAATTCTTTGGACGCTTGGGAAGATCAAGGGTCGGTAAAGGCGCTATAAGTTATAGGTGTTTTGATGGCCATCACAAGTTTTCTTTGGTGGAATCTTTGCCTTCAGGCTCCTCAAGATCATCAAGCAAGCTGTGAGAATCTATGAGATATAAACATGATAGAATCATCTAGCCGAATCTAGCCAACATATTTGTAACCAAGAGTGGGTAGGTCAATGGCCATCATAGCAGTGCCGAGGTGGCAGCACGGTTCAAGATCAGGAGATCAAGGTCATTGACTCCAGAGGGCAGATGTCACCGTGGCTGCAGGGGGTTGTCCTTCATGGGTAATTTACCGATTTACACACCAAAAATGGTACATTGAATAGGGACAAAGGTGGGAACATGAACTCTTAGACCAATTTTAGAGGCTATATAATTAAATTCATGCAAACCCAGGGATGATGTGGAAGTTGCCGGCAGCTGGTTTTAAAGATGTGGATTTTCCCAGCAACATCCATTGTGTGGGAAGTGCTGGCATATTCTTGCCGACATGCAGTTGGATTGCTTGCGATTCCGCAACATCCCAAATCCATCCAAATCCATCCAAATCCTTCAATGGGCTGATGCTGGAAATTCTGTACTACCCAGCAGCCAGTCCTTTTCCCATGGGTTGATTCATAGAGGGGAGCGTGCCCCGTTTTTCAACAACTAACGGGTACTGACCTCTGAGGCTGCCTCAGTTTCCACGCTATGCGACTTTTCAGGAGGTGGGAGATGCAAGGGGAGTTGGGGAGATCCTTTCGAGAAACCTTCATGGGGTGTATCCAGTGGTTATGCAATCATGGAAATGACTATAGATAAGGACTATAGATAATGTCAGTTACTAAGTTACACATTCCATGATAGTTGGCCATAGTTGGGTAGCTGGTCACTGCGATCACCATTTTCCGATACTTGCAGCAGGATATGCCATCACAATTGACTGCAGCTGGTCAACCATTTTCCACATCTGACATGGGGCTTGTCTGAGTTTTTGCAGGAAACATAAAACAAATTCTTGATGGCTAGTCACATTTTTTGCCATTGAAACTGCTATTTCTTATGGGCCAATCCCCATAGATCCACATTTTTAAGCATGTCCCATTAACCCTTATGGCTTCCCATGGTTGATCCCAATCTGTTGTTTCCAGAAGATCCAGAGCAGGCGCCATTTTGCTCGTCCATCCAAGCTGATCTGCAGAAGGCCGGCTTTCCAGCGCCCTCGCAGATTCAGCAGCCACTGGGCGAATGTTCAGCGGATGAATGGTGGAAGTCACAGTGGAATTTCTGATCATTTGCTTGGAACAATATCTGCTTGGTGGTTTGGAACATGAATTTTATAACTTTCCATATATTGGGAATAGTAATCCAACTGACTTTCATATTTTTCAGAGGGGTTGAAACATGTTGAAACCACCAACCAAATATGATGACCCCTCAATTTTTCAGAGCCCATTGAAGCTCATCATGCCATCAAAATCCTGGATTCAAGGTCTAGCTTGGGAATCCTTGGGATGGGAATCGAAGGGGGCCAAGGTTTTGGCCTGAACAACCAATGCGAAATGAGCGGAAGTTTTAAAGCTTTCCCCTGGACTGTTCTGTTTCCATCCCCGGAATTTGACATAAAACCTTAAACAGCCATATCCAATTACAATTATGTTATATTTATGGAGTTATCTAGGAGGAAACTCATCCTCAATGGTACCATGCTGCGCTTGGTTCCCGCCACCAAGTTTCAGGAGTTTCAAGGTCTCAACATGTGACCAGAATGTCTATTGAGGTACTCCTGGCCACTTGCAATGCAGGGCTATGATGTGATTGGTGTGGCAGCCACAGGAAGCGGAAAGACACCTGGCGGCAAAGTTGGAAGGCTGGCCTCATTGTGTTGTTGTGGATAATGATTTGATAAGTATGATAATCATGATAAGTATGATAATTATGATAATTTCAATCATTATTATGATGAGACCCCATGGCGTATTATCATTAGATTAAACATCACAAGCGTCATTTGCTCTCGTGCTGGCTTGGATTCGCTAAGGACGCTGGCCTTCTTGCTGCCCGCCTTCCATTTTCTGATCGAGAGACAGGTCCGCGCAGGAGCCCGCGAGACCTGCGAGACCGGCGAGACTGGGGGGATATGGGAAAGCCGGGAAGCCTTAGCTGGGTATATATATATATATATATTGGGATATGGGATATGGGGATATGGGGATATGGGGATATATATGCTGGGTTCAGGAGATCCTCATTTTCTGGTGATGGCACCAACTCGAGAGCTTGCTGTGCAGATCGAAGAGGAAGCGGTGAAGTTTGGCAGGCAGTTTCTCCAGGGTTGGAGTTGCGCATTCCTCTGGGCCAGACAAATGGTTCTTTTTTTTTTTTTCTGTTGTGTAGTGCTCAATCCAACTTGCAGCTGTCATGGCTTCTCTCGTGACTGATCCAAGCACATTACCCTCTGTTTATCCAACCTGGCAATGGAACAGGCCCTCAGGTCTAAATTATTGTCCTCTCAAGTAGCCAACCATGTTTCTGAAGCGCTGAAATGTGCATCCTCAGTAGGGTTCAACCCGCAAGTTTGGTTGTTTAGACAACCAAGTTTTGATCGCAAAGGTTCACCTTTTCAGTGGCAACCATCTCATCAGGGCCAGCGGCATTCGAACGTGCTGCTGCTATGGGGGAGCTCCCAAGGGACCTCAGGCCATGTCCCTGCGGGACGGCGTGCATGGCGTCATTGGACCCTCGGCAGTGGGCCAGTGATCACTGGGGACCTCCTGCGAACTGGTTGAAGTCAATGATACACATGAAAAAAACGAGTACACACACAGAATTGTTGATGTATAAGATGGTTTTTGAGTAAAATATAGTAAAATAGCAACACTACGAAGAACAATAACAACGACATAATTAGGATACTGATTTTTGGTGGGCTCATTGTTGGGTGGATCCATGTTCCAAAATCGGGGTCATTTCTTCCCAGAAATTACTAGAGATGGCTACATAAAAGGGACACATAGCATGAATTCTACGTATCAATGGATGGTATTTTACGGTAAAACCATGCTTCCCAAGAATCCCTCAGGTCAATCCGATGAGAAGCCGAATTTTCGAGACATCTCCAGTTCAACCAAGGAACTCCGGGCCGAATCAATGACTTCCTGGAGGGTATGCAGCACCTTGGTATCCAGTTGAGGCATGTTTCCTATGAACTATGGCCATTTTCCGGGTTGATCCCAGGGTCCCATTCTCAGTGCCTGGATCCTCCAAGTATCTCAGGGTCCGCCTTCAAGATGTGAACAAGCTGGTGCTGGATGAGGTGGGAACTGAGGGGTGGCAGATGCATGGAGCACTCCAGTGAAATGCTTTCGCAAGACCCAGCAGAATCTTGGTGAAGTGCTAAACCAGCTTAAATCTTCTCAATTTCAAACCAACTCTTGTTGCATCTTAGATGTTTTCAACTTTCATGAAATTCTTGTCTCGTTGACACCTGCAGTTTATGATATGCCAACCTGCTGATGTCAGGCAGATCGCATGCTTGACATGGGCTTTGAACCGCAGATCCGCAAAATCCTTGCGAAGAGACCTGGTGAAATTTTGCGACAGCACAGGGACCTTCAGCATATTTTCCCAGTGCAAAATTGGACTTTTTGGATTCCGAAGTCTGATTTGAGGAGACATAGGGCATAGACTCCTCAAATCATCCCCAAAGGGCATCCACTCTGTCCAGATCCAGCGGGTCCAGCGGGTCCAGCGGGTCCAGGATCACCAATCCACAACGGCACACCATGTTCTTTACTGCCACCTGGCCCATGAGCATCCGACGCCTTGCCGCGGAGTTCCTGAGAAATCCGGTCACTTGGAGTCTCCCAAATGTGTGGGTGACGCCTGAAGGTGAGAAATGGGAGTGGTGAAGGGTTGCAGATAGGAATAGCCTAGGTTATATTGAAATATATTGAAATATGAGGGCTTGGGGGTAGCAACTCTGGCACCAACTGCATGGAGCTGAAACAGATTTTCTCGAAGTGGGCGACAGCTGTCATGGGAATCTTTGACGGCGCATGATCCTGCGAAAACTGAGATCCAAATTCAGATCGGAAACCGGGACGAGCTCAAAGGCAACCAGGACCTGATTGAATGACAGAAAACATGGATGGAATGGTAAGGGATGTTTTGGGAGGATGTGAAGACTGGCTTGTAGTAGTGGTTTGTGCATGTTTGTGCAATCCTTACAATTATAGAAGTTGGTGCACCACTGAGATAACCTGACCACCTCGGCAGGATATTGTGCAGATTATCTCCCCCTGCAACCAGTACAACAAGAACCAGATCTTACTGCAGGTTCTGTCACAGTCAGGCGGCTGCAGGGTCATAGATATTGCAATGAGCTTATGTTGTCTGACATTTACTGTGAAAGGAATCCTCTCAGGTATCATTTTGTGTATCTATCTTCTCCTGATCCTATGTCGTCTTGTCTTATCTTATCTTGTCTCACCGAACGGAGTCTTATCTTATCTTGTTCCATCCCACTGTATCTTTTACATTCTTTTACTATGCTGTAATTTATTGAATCACCTATACCTGCATTGGCATCTACATCTACACATGATATGTTGCTTTGGCTTGATATCCTATACAGAAACATCTATATCAACATACAGTTTCTTCCACCCATCGCTTGGAGCCCCCTGCGCCGGTGCCTGGCAAGGTGTGGGGGATCGCAACAACAGCGCAGCCAAGGCGATCATCTTCTGCTCAACGAAGCGGATGCTGCTCAGCCTGGTGGATTCAGTGGATTTGTCACAATTTCATGTGGATTTCATGGCAATATTATGTGGGTTTTGTAGGGATCTCATGGGGAATTTTATTGTAGATTTTATGGGGGTTTTAGGAGATCTTAAGATAAATACCCAACCAACAATCGGGATATTTGAAGGGCTATAATGGACTATCTTTGCCATACTCTATATATTTGTTTTTCCATCCAACAATATTGGATGATGATGATGATGATGACGACTTTATCCCTTTTGCGGTTTGTTGTGTACCCTCATCTTTGTCGGTTCTTCATTATCTAGAATCTCTATCTATAGTATATATATATGTTATGTATGTATACATATATATATATTATGTGATTAGGTGTATATATATATATATATTTACACTTGTACATAAAATACATATAATGTAATTATATATAATGTACATATATATATATAATATTATAACACATCCCTCTTGGTTCGCAGACATCCCAGGTGTGACCAGCTGCAAAGAGATTTGCAGCGCGCCGGTGTGCCCTGCGCGGCCATTCATGGCGACAAGGGCCAGCGCGAGCGAGAGCATGTGACTGGGCGTGGTGATTTATAGCGGCTTTTAGCGATTGAAGCAACGAAGATGGGGGGAAACAGCCAACATCAGCCAACCATAGTATAGGGATACACATACTGTGTATGCATACACACACATATATATATATATATTATACATAGGATAATAGTGAGGCTACAATGGTATATATATACATATATATATATATATCTATTTATGAATATATATATAAGTACACATACGTACATGCATAGATCACCAATCGGTGACATGAAGGGATAATGATGCTAAACCAGTGAATGGAATGGGGTATGCCATATTTTCAGACGAAACCAAATGGACCGTCATGCTAGTTGGACATGACCCAGAGAGAAGGATTCCACATAATTTCAGGATTTTTTCGAATTCCGGGTGTTTCGACCATCACATGTTCGTCCTTCGCCTGTGGTGATTTTGAGTTGGGCTCCACTTGCGAATCATTCTGCCACATTTTTTGTCCCCCTTGAACTAAAGTAGTGCTTACTCTGTTCATTGACTACTACATGCTCCGGTAAACTAATGTAGCTATGGAGAATCACTATTGTTAATATGTAAATCAACTATAAACATTATAAGTGGCCATTTTCAATAGCTATCTTAAATTAGCTTAAATTACCAAAGGCTAGTATTATAGGATCTTCGGGGAAGCCAGTCACATTACCAGGCGCTGGGCGAGCTGAAGTCCGGAGCCATGAAGCTCATCGTGGCCACTGATGTGGCAGCACGAGGGATTGACATCAAAGGCGGGGAACCAACCAGAAATCCACGTTGTTTTTTTGTGGCAAAATTCCTTATTGGTGCTTAGTAAGTAGGGAATGAGGGAATGGAATGACTATTAGTTATTATGGATCATTACTAAGCACCAGTAAGATTCTCAAGGCATATCCCTTGAAAGTATAAAGGATATCCATTTTTTGGACTGGATGGCTTCACCCGGCTGATTCACTGGGTCTGAAAAATCCAATGGTTCAACACATGAATTTTTCCCGAAGCATATTGCCATAAATTGAACATGGGATATAGAGGTAAATGAGGTGTATTTATTGTTAATTTAATTTATTACATACATTTTTTCAACACATAAATTGAGGTATATATAAATTATGGAACAAAGCCACATGGCACAGTCCAGTGCGTTTTTTGGGGATGTGGTGCAAGCTGGCTTCACTCTTCAGGCTGCAAGGGGACTCAGACATTTCCCATTGCACAGGTATGGGCCGGTTATGGGTCAAAACTGTGGTACCCAAAGTACCCTAAGATAGCTGGCTAATGGATGATAAATGATGGCAATAATAGAATTTTGACCCATCCCCATATCAACCTGGCCATATTATCAGCACATTATCACCATAATAGAATTAACGGCTGGGGCGGTCAGTTTCTCATTGCAGGTGTGACATTGGTGGTGAACTTCGACGCGCCTGGCAACACTGAGGATGGATTGGTATGGATCATTTTGGATGGTGGATTATAGATGATTACATCTTACGTATAGTAAACATAGACCCCCATAGTAAACATCATTATTTCATTCAAATTATGAGTATGGGACGAGTTGGGGCCCAGTCAGTTTCCGAACAGCCAATGGCCTGCGTGACATCAGGACTATGTGCATCGAATTGGCCGAACGGGCCGTGCTGGACAGAAAGGCAGGGGCACGAGTATAAGGCATACCGGGTACATATTCTAAGCTTGCCGCTTATTCATACGGTTCATATGCGATTTGATGGGGTTTCGAGAGATAGGCATGACTTGGGCCTGATTCCATGCAGATTTGCTGGCAAGTTTAGATCCAGACATGAGTTAGGCTGGTCCTTTGACTGTACGGAGCCAGAATATGTGGCATAGTCAACATCGAGATACTAGAATATGGAAAAACCGAGTAGATATACCCATGAAACATCCCATTCCTGCATCCATTTCCCCTTTCTGCATCTTTCTGTGGTATGTTCCCCAGCCAGGTTATGCTGTCTCATTGATCTCCGACAAGGATGCCCACGCTTTGCGGGGCATCATCGAGGTGATGAGACGAACTAATCAGGACCTTTGTGGGGCCGAAGGGCGGGCCAGGAAAATCCATGTCTTTGCGGCTCCAAAATCTTATGAAGCAACTAACTCTCAGTCAGAAACTGTTTGAAACCAAAAACAGGTTCCGAAGTGAACTCATGTGAACTCACCACCATGTATATATATATATCTATATACTATCTATCTATCTATCTACCTATCTATCTATCTATCTAATCTAATCTAATCTAATCTAAGCTAAGCTAATCTAATCTAATCTAATCTAGTCTAATCTAATCTAATCTAATCTAATCTAATCTTATCTTATCTTATCTTATCTATCTATCTATCTATCTATCTATCTATCTATCTAATCTATCTATCTATCTATCTATCTACCTATCTATCTATCTATCTATCTATCTATCTATCTATCTATCTATCTATCTATCTATCTATCTATCTATCTATCTATCTATCTACTTATCTATCTATCTATCGATCGATCCATCCATCCATCCATCCATCGATCCTATCTATCCTATCTATATACATATATACATATAGATACATAATTCTTGGTTTCAACTTCATTTGCAACCGGTTTCACCAGCGCACCTGGCTGTTTAACCCCAACCGACCTGCAGGAAGTCACACCGGAGGTCGAGGTGGGCTTGGGATGGGTAGTGCTGGTGAGTTTTCAGCATTTGGGTGTCACATTCTTAGTATTCGCCGTTCAAGTTTGGGGTCTCCCAAGTTTGACCCGTGTCTTGGACTCATTTTTGGTGTTGTCCTTGGTTTTCAGAAACGACAAACAGAGAGCTGGCATTCCCCTCAATGGGCAATCTATGTGGCTTTCCATTCCTCGTCATTTGACTCTGGAGCCCTGGGGGTGCTCTGCTTCAGGCCATGTGTCGCTCAGCCGGCCCACCCCCGCCCAGCGGAAGAGCGCTACGCGGGATGAAGGGCCGGTGAGGTTGGGGAGCCCTGGAGGGGAAGTCCCAGTGGGGCGATTGCACGCAAAGACTGGGCGATTTCACCACCCATCGGGAAATACCACAAGTTGGAGCTACTAAAATGGATCAAATGGCTGGGGAATTGGATTTCATGTCTAGATCCTCAATTCTTGGACTCCCAATGATTAATGATCAGGGCTCGTGGAATTTAGCAAGATATTGCAAGATTTTAGCAAGATATTGCAAGATATGAGATTACAAGAAATGCACAAGCAGGGGGTCTGAGGTTAATGGGGTTCGGGATCACAGGATCAATGAAGGTTATCTCTAGTTCAATAGAATAGTTCTGGCTACAGCCTACCCCTTCCAGCTGATGCTGCACAGCAGGAAGAAATGACGCTAGCACTGGTGCATCGGCTGTTTTCTTTATGATTTTAGAGATAAAGACGCAAGAGCGATTTACTCTACTGGTCATCACTAGTCATTGGTCTTTTACCAGGAAAGGGCCCCTGTTTAGTTCAGACTGGGAGTTTCGGAAGGTAGTCTGCTCCATGGGGCAGCGCCTCACCTGGGGCAGCGCCTCACCTGGGGCTGTCAGTTCAGATTTCACAGGCATGGACAGAGAAACTTGAGGAATTTGCCCTCTCCATGAGTATTCAGCGAGTTGGGATTGAAAATTTAAAGTTGGGCATTTAAGAATTACTGCTGCTCGGATGTTGAAAGCATAATAAGGTTCCAGATTTGCGGTAAATTCCACTACAAGGTGAATGGGGGGTGTCGGGGGCTTGACAGCCCTTGGAGCCCTCCCAGGCACCAATGTGAGCACAGACAGATGGCAGACTCGGCCAGTGGCTGCAATGGCCAGCTGGGCCCGAAGGGCGATCAGCTGGGTGTGCAGCAGGGCGGTTGGGCTCAAAATTCATCCACTGGGCAGGTGTGGTGGGGCGGTTCCAGCTGGGCCCCGTGCGCGTGGTTTTTTTGACGCGCGTGCGGGTGCACAGGGGGAAAAAGCCCACTGCCACCCGCTTGGTTTTAGACCCAAGAAAGTCCGTCTTTTTTTTGGGGTAATTTTGAGCCACATGCCCAAAGCTGCTGGCACCCACGTGTGCCCAGGTGCGCTGCACACGGGAGACGATCTCCCTTAAGAACCGGCGGCGAGCCGGCAATCGGGTTGGGGAAGCTGTGCTTCCTTACACCCTGACTAGTTGATCCGTTCGATATCTTTGCATCAGTGAAACTCTTCCCATTAATTGTAAGGTCAGTAATGTTTTCTGACAGATATGTACTGGCTCTTAAAAGAAGTGGCTTAACTTTTCATAGGAGCAGCACTTCTGCACCCCTTAAAGGTCCCTACGCGTTAACACATCAATATCTATGGAAAGGTCACGCAGCGAAACATGAGTTGGCCCTCCAAGTGGTTTGCTTTATCCCTAGATGTTCAATGTGTGGTAGGTGGGCCACATCATTTTACGAGTATGGTTTATGATACCGCCCCAAATGATAAAATTGGGTGATCATCCGAATCATCCCTTTCTTGTCTCAGGTTTTGGGTGGGTGCCAACTGAGGCCACTCGCCGTCTCTGACAATCAGGACCGTTTCCATTTAGCGCAGGGTTTGGAAAGTTGCAGGCAGAGATCTGATGCCATTGTTCATCAGTTCAGTAGGACCTTCGCGACATTCTGGTATTATATAACTCTCCATTGGAATCAAGACCCGTTTTAGAAGGCAGGTTCTAAAACCCTGCTGAGTGCTGAGTTTTGAGATGTTCACAGCACTGATTTTGACCAAGCCGCAGAACCTGCTAATGCTTCTGGGGCTCTTCGGGCAAGGCCAGACACGGGGGCCCAGCTGGTTGGAGCTGATTTGGCCCCAGATTCATCACTGGAGCCTCCAAATCATCAATTTCATGGTCAGTTTCAAAGGTTCGCTCTCAGGCTCTCAGGTGCCTGTGCTGTACCCACAATTTCCAGCTCCTGGGGACAGGTGGACTTAGGGCCAGCTGCCTGAGAAGCTGAGGGAGGAGATTGGAAGCTGGAGTCAGAGCTTTGGGTTACCCCCCAAAATCCCCACGGGGGTGTAACCAACACGGGCATGCAAGTCTGAAATTCACCATGTGGCACCACCAGACCTTGCAGCAAGGCCAGACATTGCGGGTTGATGTAGAGTTTGCACATTTGTTGGAGAGACTAACATTCCCTGAGACAGGGGATTGAGTTGAGAATTGAAATGCCCATTTACTAGCCAAACGCATGCTTCCTAATCCCTGAAACTGCACGAAAAGTGCATGTTGTGCTACTGTCACTGCACAGTAGAACGTGTCACAATCCAGTAGTTTCGCAGAGCGGAGAACTGGAAGTCCGGCTGCAACTGGAGGCAAAACAGTGCCTCTGAAACTCAGAAAACTCAAAGATGTCGCCAGATCTCTTAGCATGGAGACCTGATTGCTATTGACTCCATGGCCATGAGAATCATAGAGACAGGAAAAGACTATAGACAGAGCAGTAGCTTTGATGGGAAAGGCGTTCAACAAACTCACCATCCACCAACACCCACACCACCAATTTCTCCTTCGACAGTCGGTGACTTGCCAGCCGCTTCTTAGTAAGTCGAAAGGGAACCAACCAGTCCTTTGAGGACTGTCCGGAGTGATGTCAGCGGTGCAAAAAAGCCTGTCCGGAGTCATGCTTCAAGTGGCTGGGTGAAGCAAATGGTTTCTGCTCTACTCATAGAGTCTATAGAGAACAAAACTCCTTAGATTCTACAGAAAGCGCCTTATGACATCCTTCACCGCATTAAAACCATTGGTTCCTCGACGCTACTCCAAGGCGCTTCCACAACGACTCCAGCACTTTACCACAGCCAGGTGGCGCCGTGTTCTTCATAGCAACCCCCAAAGACAGTATGTCCTCCAAAAACCGACTAAAATGGTGAGAAGTCACTACTCTATCCTGGGGATTTACTATCTATTCAAGCATGTTGTGCTGATTTGTTGTTTCCTCGGAAGCTAGATTTTTGCTGGATGGCATGCTATGTTTTCTTTGTTATTTCCATTGGGTTTGCTATCATGTTGCCACGCTGCAAGTCTGTCAGGGTGATGGAAAGGGGGTTCTGTGTCGGAGGTGCTGTGTTGTTCCGGGTCTAACCCACCCAGAAGCCACAGCTGCCACGGGACAGAAGAAAATGAGCCACTGTCTGACAAGACCAGTTGAGCTTGTGTGGCAAAGGCATGCGTTGTATTGTGTTGTGGATTATTGTCTTGGCACAGCAGTTGTGACGCTGCAAGTGTGTCTTGGTGATGAGAAGGGGGCTCTGTGTCGGAGGTGCTGTGTTGTTCCGGGTCTAACCCACCCAGAAGCCACAGCTGCCACAGGACAGAAGTAAATGAGCCACTGTCTGACAAGACCAGTTGAGCTTGTGTGGCAAAGGCATGCGTTGTATTGTGTTGTGGATTATTGTCTTGGCACAGTGTTTGTGACGCTGCAACTGTGTCTTGGTGATGAGAAGGGGGCTCTGTGTCGGAGGTGCTGTGTTGTTCCGGGTCTAACCCACCCAGAAGCCACAGCTGCCACAGGACAGAAGAAAATGAGCCACTGTCTGACAAGACCAGTTGAGCTTGTGTGGCAAAGGCATGCGTTGTATTGTGTTGTGGATTATTGTCTTGGCACAGCGTTTGTGACGCTGCAAGTGTGTCTTGGTGATGAGAAGGGGGCTCTGTGTCGGAGGTGCTGTGTTGTTCCGTGTCTAACCCACCCAGAAGCCACAGCTGCCACAGGACAGAAGAAAATGAGCCACTGTCTGACAAGACCAGTTGAGCTTGTGTGGCAAAGGCATGCGTTGTATTGTGTTGTGGATTATTGTCTTGGCTCTGCGTTTGTGAAGCTGCAAGTGTGTCTTGGTGATGAGAAGGGGGCTCTGTGTCGGAGGTGCTGTGTTGTTCCGGGTCTAACCCACCCAGAAGCCACAGCTGCCACAGGACAGAAGAAAATGAGCCACTGTCTGACAAGACCAGTTGAGCTTGTGTGGCAAAGGCATGCGTTGTATTGTGTTGTGGATTATTGTCTTGGCACAGCGTTTGTGACGCTGCAAGTGTGTCTTGGTGATGAAAAGGTGGTTCTGCGTCGGAGGTGCTGTGTTGTTCCGGGTCTAACCCACCCAGAAGCCACAGCTGCCACAGGACAGAAGAAAATGAGCCACTGTCTGACAAGACCAGTTGAGCTTGTGTGGCAAAGGCATGCGTTGTATTGTGTTGTGGATTATTGTCTTGGCTCTGCGTTTGTGACGCTGCAAGTCTGTCAGGGTGATGGAAAGGGGGTTCTGTGTCGGAGGTGCTGTGTTGTTCCGGGTCTAACCCACCCAGAAGCCACAGCTGCCACAGGACAGAAGAAAATGAGCCACTGTCTGACAAGACCAGTTGAGCTTGTGTGGCAAAGGCATGCGTTGTATTGTGTTGTGGATTATTGTCTTGGCACAGTGTTTGTGACGCTGCAACTGTGTCTTGGTGATGAGAAGGGGGCTCCGTGTCGGAGGTGCTGTGTTGTTCCGGGTCTAACCCACCCAGAAGCCACAGCTGCCACAGGACAGAAGTAAATGAGCCACTGTCTGACAAGACCAGTTGAGCTTATGTGGCAAAGGCATGCGTTGTATTGTGTTGTGGATTATTGTCTTGGCACAGTGTTTGTGACGCTGCAACTGTGTCTTGGTGATGAGAAGGGGGCTCCGTGTCGGAGGTGCTGTGTTGTTCCGGGTCTAACCCACCCAGAAGCCACAGCTGCCACAGGACAGAAGTAAATGAGCCACTGTCTGACAAGACCAGTTGAGCTTATGTGGCAAAGGCATGCGTTGTATTGTGTTGTGGATTATTGTCTTGGCACAGCGTTTGTGACGCTGCAAGTGTGTCTTTGTGATGAGAAGGGGGCTCTGTGTCGGAGGTGCTGTGTTGTTCCGGGTCTAACCCACCCAGAAGCCACAGCTGCCACAGGACAGAAGAAAATGAGCCACTGTCTGACAAGACCAGTTGAGCTTGTGTGGCAAAGCATGCGTTGTATTGTGTTGTGGATTATTGTCTTGGCACTGCGTTTGTGACGCTGCAAGTGTGTCTTGGTGATGAGAAGGGGGCTCTGTGTCGGAGGTGCTGTGTTGTTCCGGGTCTAACCCACCCAGAAGCCACAGCTGCCACAGGACAGAAGAAAATGAGCCACTGTCTGACAAGACCAGTTGAGCTTGTGTGGCAAAGGCATGCGTTGTATTGTGTTGTGGATTATTGTCTTGGCTCTGCGTTTGTGAAGCTGCAAGTGTGTCTTGGTGATGAGAAGGGGGCTCTGTGTCTGAGGTGCTGTGTTGTTCCGGGTCTAACCCACCCAGAAGCCACAGCTGCCACAGGACAGAAGACGATGAGCCACTGTCTGACAAGACCAGTTGAGCTTGTGTGGCAAAGGCATGCGTTGTATTGTGTTGTGGATTATAGTCTTGGCACTGCGTTTGTGACGCTGCAAGTGTGTCTTGGTGATGAAAAGGGGGCTCTGTGTCGGAGGTGCTGTGAGGAGTTTGGGCTGGAGGCAGCATGCGTAACCAGGCATTGCTCCTGGGATGGTACATGCCAAAGTCCCCAAACATGTTTCGGCCTTTTTTGAAGAATTATATAAATATATATATATATATATGTATGTTCTTATTCAGTTTGTGTGCTTTTTTGATGCTCTACCTTGTAAATCTGGCTGCCTTTTTTTTAAATCCAGGCTATTTGGATTAATCCCATCCCCCTATTAAACAGCCCCATTGCGTGGTCCACCATGGTTTCTGGGTGTGTGTTGAATCCTGGTGGTGATGTCCCCATGAATATTCCCGTCATATTTACATTAGCCAGCATTAATCACCAACGATTGTTATTTATAAAGTGGATTATTAGCCATTAAGAACCATTGCCAGTAGTACCGCACAAGGCGGTGGCGGAAGTTTCAAAAATAGGAAACCTATAGGAGAGATTGGTTGTTGTGAATCCCTGATGGCAGAGCGAATCCACTGATGGACCGAAAGGTGGTTGGAGCTGTGTTTTTTGGAGTGGCTGCAATGGTTGCAGTGGTCACCTGGTCGGTCACCTCACCCACAACTGCTGGATGTAGTGTGGTGTAGTGCAGCTGTAGTTGTAGTTGTAGTGTAGTGGAGCTGTAGTTGTGGTGTAGTGTAATTAGTGTAGTGTAGTTGCATTTGTGGTGGTGTAATGAGTGTAGTGTAACGTAATGCAATGTAATGCAATGTGGGGTAGGGTAGTGTAGTGTAGTGTAATTGAGTGTAGTGTGGTGTGGCGTGGTGTGGTGTGGTGTAGTGTGGTGTAGTGTAGTGTAGTGTCGTGTCGTGTAGTGTGGTGTAATGTAGTGTTGTAGTTAGTGTTGTAGTTAGTGTTGTAGTTAGTGTAGTGTAGTGTAGTGCAGTGCAGTGTAGTGTAGCGCAGCGCAGTGCAGTGCAGTGCAGTGCAGTGTAGTGTAGTGTCGTGTCGCGTGGTGTAGTGTAATGTAGTGTAATTGAGTGTAGTGTGCTGTAGTGTAGTGGAGTGTAGTGTAAGGAGGTGTAGTGTAGCGTAGTGTAGTGGAGTGGGGTGTAGTGTAGTGTAGTGCAAAGTAGTGTAATGTAAGTAGTGTAGTGTAGTGTAGTCCTATGTAGTTGTAGTTGTTGTTAGTGTGATGTAGTGTAATGTAGTGTAGGGTAGTGTAGTGTAATGTCATGAGTGTAGTGTAATGTAATGTAGTTGCAGTTGCAGTTGCAGCTGTAGTTGTAGTTATAGGTGTAGTGCAGTGTCATTCAGTGTAGTGTAGTGTAGTGGAGCGTAGTGTAATGTAGTGTAATTAGTGTAGTGTAGCGTAGCGTAGTGTAAATGGTGGTCCGAACCCTTGTGTTTTTAACATTTTGACTTCGAAATGTGCTTCGCGCCACAACAGCGTGCACTTTTTCGACATCTCAACTTCCAAAAGTGGTCCGAGCATGGTGTGTTTTGTACATTTTGACTTCGAAATGTGCTTCGCGCCACAACGGCGTGCACTTTTTCGACATCTCAACTTCCAAAAGTTGCCCCAGCATGGTGTGCTTTGTACTTTTTGACTTGGAAATGTGCTTCGCGCCACATCGGCGTGCACTTTTTCGACATCTCAACTTTCAAAAGTGGTCCGAGCATGGTGTGTTTTGTACATTTTGACTTCGAAATGTGCTTCGCGCCACAACGGCGTGACATCTCAACTTCCAAAAGTTGCCCCAGCATGGTGTGCTTTTTACTTTTTGACTTGGAAATGTGCTTCGCGCCACCTCAACTTCCAAAAGTTGCCCCAGCATGGTGTGCTTTGTACTTTTTGACTTGGAAATGTTCTTCGCGCCACATCGGCGTGCACTTTTTCGACATCTCAACTTTCAAAAGTGGTCCGAGCCTGGGGTGTTTTGCACATTTTGACTTAGAAATGTGCTTCGCGCCACAACGGCGTGCACTTTTTAGACATCTCAACTTCCAAAAGTGGTCCGAGCATGGTGTGTTTTGTACATTTTGACTCCGGAATGTGCTACGCGCCACAACGGCGTGCAATTTTTCATCTCTCATCTGGCCAGCTGGCTCCGCACCCGCCGCTTTAGCAAGCCTACTCTTCGACCCTCCGGAGCCACAAACCACTGCAAAAGCACAGTGTTTCGCGACTTTCCTACCTTTTCGCGCACCTGGATCTTCTTTCTTCTGAGGCTTTCTCTTTTGTGATCTTCTTTCTTCTTTCTTCTTTCTTCTTTCTCTTCTCTTCTCTTCTCTGACTCTTCCCACCTCTGCTTTTCATCTGTCTATATTGTCGGTAGTTTGACTTCTAAACTTCCTTCGAATAATCATCAATAGCCATTAATAGCCACTATGCAGCATGTTTCTGGAATGGCTCATGGCCAGGGATGCTCGCCCTAAGGCTAAGCGGCTGGGGGTGGGTCCAGGTCCAGTGTCTAGGATTCATGACAGCCATTGTGGCTTACCCTCTGGTAATTTGTTACAGTTTGATATTGAACATGGCCATTTAGTTCGTTGATTTTTCCAATCAAAAATGGGGATGTTCCATAGCTACGTTAGTTTACCAGAGGGTAGTGCCACTTTTTTCCAACACACCCAACTTGACCATCTACCACCAGCAGCTAGGGCAACTTGACCTTCCAATGGCAGCGACCAGGGTATGACATGAGGAAACCTGCAAGCAGATAGGAATTACACGCACTGATCCAGCAAAAACACTTCCCCTTACAGTAGTCTGTTTGGAGCCACGAAGGGTATGATGTTTTTTGCCGGTTCCTTATGATGAAGCTACACTGCTCAATGTCGGCCAAGTTCCAGACATCCAGTCGGTTGCAGCTGCAGGGCGTGTGGGAGACGATCGAGTCCAACATGGAAGTCTTCAACGTGAAAAAACTGCCCTTGATGCTCGTGCCATTCTTGGACTTGCATGGTGTCTAGCTTGAAGATATTCTGCAGTGAGCAACATGCTGCAACAGGTTTGAGGGACTTCTATCATTCTCTCACTATGCACATAAATTAGCGAGCCTGACTCACAGAAGCGCGTGAACACGTGAAAAACATGGAATTTCGTCAAGAAGACCCTACTGCCATTTTGCTCTGTGGATGAATCGTCCAAGCCCCGTTTCATTGTGCCACAAAGATCATCATGTACAATGTACAACAAAAAACATACCAACATATTGATTTCCGTGCCATAGGCCATAGGCCATAGCTCATCCTTTTTGCTAAGGTAGCTGCAGACATCCCTACCATTTTTTCCGCAGAAATCTATAGAGTGACTACCAGAACTCCACCTGAGCTGAGGTGCCAATTGCTGCAATGTTTCAGCCTGAGGGGTGGAGACTCGGGACCTTTGTGGAGCATCGGAGCCTCGAACCATGTTTCCAGAATTTCCTAGATTTGAAATGCACAGAATGCAATGATTCCCATACTTACATCTGTATGAATACATATCATATATATATAATATAAATTATAAATATCTGAGTCTGTATTGTATAATATGATTACATATATATATACACATGTGGATATGTGGATATATACAATATATGTTACATCTGCCCCCAACCGGGGACAGTTAAAAATCGCTTTGAATTTTTGCTCTGACTTGTTTGTCTTGTCTTGGAACCTGACAGCTTAAAGTTCTTCCCAGCTACCCGGTCGCAGTAATTTACCGCTGGCAGGAGCAAAGCTGAACAAGCAGATCAACGTGTTGGTCAATGCCTTGGTCAATCATAAAGAGAAGATTGTTTTGTCTTGCAGGGCTCGCCAATTTTGGTGCGCGCGCACACACACACACTTGAAAAAACCCTTCATTTGCGGTTGTGAGCAGATGTCTTGTGCAGTGTAGAACGGCTGAAGTGATTAGAACTTGCACTTCGTAGCCTATGATGGGCCCAACCTGAAACTGGCGGCATTTTTGACGCTTGATCCACCTGAGTTTGGTTTGACAACAGGACACACCTCCCTTCATTGGGCCCCCCTTGTGTCGCCAAGCTCGTCTACTCCAACGTGCCATGAAGTACCTGGAGGGAGGCGGTTGGCGTCTCAGACCGTCTCAGGGCAACGAGTCGGACAGTGATGCCAGGAATGTTTGAATTTGATGAGATTTTGTGGATCCAATCGCAGGTCTAAAACTTTGACCCTCCCAGCTGGTGTCATAGTTATATCTCCATTGGTTCTATGCTCACATGAACACTGAAAAACCACAAAGAGATAGCGAGTCGGCATTTCTTCGCATCCCGACCTGCTCTATTCACATTAGTTTGTCCAAGAACGAGATTCCAATTCATCATCCTGTTCTCAAAATTTCCTGGGATTATATCCATATCCTTCGTTTTCGGCCAGGCGCTGTGTGTTGCCCGGAAGGTTATCCTTCAACGTGCTCAAACACCTGCACAGGGCCAGTGTTTTGAGATTTCCCAGACAACGAACCCTAAACCCTGAAACCCTAAAACCTAAAACCCTAAAACATCCTAAAACTGTACACCCTAAAACCAAAACCCTGAAACCTTTGAATCCTAAACCAGAAAACCCTGCCTTCCCCGCAGTACTTCCTGCAATCTCTCCGATCATTTTCCCAGGCCAGATCGTCCCAGTGGTGGGAGCCAAAGCTGCTGCCGCCGTGGTGAAGGTCCGAGCCGCTCCGCTGGGAGGAACTCTGCTCTCAGATCTGTGTGGCAGTGTGTTGATGCTGTTGGGTGAAACTTCTATATATTCTTGGGGATTCTGAGTTCGTTTAATTTGAGTTATTTCATTTGTTTGTGTGTCTATACTATGCTATACTGCCTGTATTTCACGATCTCGATTGTTCGGGTATGGAATTGATTGTCCACAGAAAGACTCCCAGATCCAAGATGCCACCCACGCGTGAGGGATGCAGCTGGTGAGCCAAAAACTCATTTTGAGCACGAGTCAGAACCAAGGATTCTCGAAAAGGAATAGTTGAAAATTGATCATCCTTCTATATAATTGATCATCCTTCTTTCAGAATTACATATTTCCAATGTTCACAAGGTCATACATTAATATGGGGATGGGTCAAAACCCTGGCACCTAGTGAACATCAAAATAGCTGGTAAATGGATGTTCATCCCCCTAAAAATGGTAATAATAGGTATTGACCCATACCCATATATATATATATACATAATTATATATATATATATACACATAATTATATATATGTATATATAAATATACATAACATACACATACCACTCATACCAGGGTTTTGATTCACACTTGGCACGCTCGCCTCCGTCATTTCGTCGCCTACGAGGCGACACATCAGTTGGGCACCAAGGAGGCGAAGCGGTTGAATCTCGCCTGGCTGGGTGCCATGTCGGCGCAGGCGGGAGCTGAGAGCTGAAGAGGTTCAGGGTAGTGAAATATGATGATAACAACAATATTAATAGTAGTAACTGTAGTAACTACAAATAGTAATCATCATAACTAACTAATAGTAATAGTAATAGTAAGAATATAGTAGTATAATAGTAATAGTAATAATATAGTAGTAGTAATAATAATATTAATAGTGATAACTACAATATTACTACCACATCATGACAATAGTAGTAGTAGTAGTAGTAGTAGTAGTAGTAGTAGTAGTAGTAGTAGTAGTAGTAGTAGTAGTAGTAGTAGTAGTAGTAGTAGTCGTAGTAGTAGTAGTACTACTACTACTACTAATGATAATGATAATACTAATAACAATCAAGTAAGATTATAGTACCATTAATGGGGATTTTTGTATAATCAGCCAGTATCAACTATGGGTTCCCCCCTGATTATCCCATAATGTCGGTAAGACAATAAACCATCACCCAAATCACCAGAAATAGATTGTGTAAACCATTTACAAACGGGTGGTTTATTATTGTTTTACCCACATCAATTAGCCAGATCTTTGATAACTATCAACATCTTCACTTCTGGTGTCTAACACTTTGGGGATTCTCCAAATCATGAATATTAGATTAGTTTAGTACTAAGACTTATGATTTTGAGACCTCCATTGAAGAAATTGGTGACATATTCCCATTCTTGTTGGTCAAATTTTCTAATATACCACCAAGTTTGCCAAGGATTGGTGCCAAATCCCATCAAACTTGGGGATCTTGGGAGTTTTCCCCTAAAAAAATCAGACAAACCTGTCCTTTTGAGGTCAATGACTTAAGTGCGCCAGTGGTCGCAGAGTTGGCGCAGGATGGGCCATTTGTAGCGAGATGTGGGGTGACATTTTGAGTCGACCAAGATCTAATCTCACAACTCGACTCGATCCAGGCTGCTCCGGATTTCCTGATTTGGACATCTGTTAAAGTTGGATCCAACATTTGCTTGGATGGTTCAATACTTAAATGATCTTAAATGACCAAGACTTGGCGAAAATCCATCAGGAGCTTCTGCGCTATCGCGTACCGGACAGGGAACTCTGGCGCGTCTCTTGTTGGCAGCCAGGTTATCCTTCCAGAGGGTGAGCAATTTAGGCGCAATCAAACAGTTACGAGATGTCACCATGTCTGAGGCCTTGGTGGAGACGACGCTTCGAAGATCCGCTGAGATGGGCCCTGCGGAAATAGTGGCTTAGACCTGGGGGAATGGGTTCCTTTTTTTTTTGGTGTGTAGATGTTTGATGATGGTTTTCGAGTAAGGAATCACTCCATTATATATATATATATACATATTTGACTTTTGGGTACCCCAGGTTTTTTGCCGTAAAATTCGGCAACTAGGAGTCTGGGCAATTCCATTTTTGTGAGCTGCCGTTTCAAAGCATGCCGACCAGTTCATGTGGAATGAAGAAACCTTGGTGGATTAGTTGATTAATTATATCCAACAACTTCAAAATTACAAACCAAATACTGGGTTTTAGCAATGAACTATGGGTTTTAGTCAATTCTAGAAGCCCCAACATTAAAGAACCTTGGGGCAGGGGTTTGTTGAGGTTTGACAAATTAGTAGGCATGATACAACAGACTAAACTCGGCTTGGAACATCCACCACATAGTGGATTTTGCCATTTTGGGTGGTGACCCGCCAGTAGATGAACATAGACGAAGCAGACAACGTATTGAACATCCGCCACGTGTTGTACATATTGTTCATTTTTTGTGTGTTGGAGGATACAAGACAATTTCCGATGATTTCAACCATCAGGGATGAAGTCGCCATTTTCTCCACTGCTTAGGTCTACCTTATGGACGCTTTCCGGCGCTCCATGGCCTTCGGCACAGACCCGGGACAAGCAGTTCAGGCCCTGTGCAGGGGGCCCAAGCTGCTCGCCTGCGCCGCCCAAAAAATGGGGAACATAGCAAGCAATGGGGGTATTCATCAGGGTCTATCCAACATTTGAGATTGACCCAAGAATCATTTCCATGGCCATGAACATATGGGCACGTTATGAATTTGAAACCATGAGATGGAATGGGCTACCTGATTTTCAGACAAAGCCAGAAGAATTCTAGAAGTCGCATATATTTGGGATACTTTGGCCACATCAGCTGGATAGTTGAGCCTATAGGTGAGCCTATACACAAACATTTAGCTGGTGGTAAATCGGTATAACAGCCTATGAATACCCATTTACCCTCTGTGGGCATCCCCAAAAAGATGCTTAAAACGTCATTTCCATTCA